TATCGCTGTCATTTTCTCCCTCACATTCGCTCTCTCCTTTGACTGACTATTATAGTATAGACCTAAAGTATTTTTTATTATTGTTGTAATTATTGGATTGAATTTAACGGCTATGCCTGACCCTACAAATACAAAGCAAAGCTATGTCTCAGGTGTCGATTCATCTGACCACTATCACTGGTCCGTTTGCTCCCAAACCCTTGATGCTAAAAGCATTCTCTTCCCAGTTTATGTTGTGGGCGCCTTGACAGCAAAGCCTATTTTGAAGCCACGATCGGGGCTGTGATGCTGATTACACATAGCATCAGTACCGTCCCGAGATGTGCAGGCAGAATACGCTGCTGCCGCCCACATGGGGGACACAGCAATTACAAAGGAAGGGACAGTTGAGCCTTGAACAACACGGGTTTGAACTGTGCAGGTCCACTTAAGCGTGGGTCTTTTTGTCACTAAGTACTGTAAATGGATTTTCTCTTCCTTGTGATGTTCCTAAAAACATATTCTTTTCCCTGGTTTACTTTATTGTCAGAATATAGTAAAAAAGACATAGAACATGCAAAATGTGTGTTGATTGACTGTTTATGTTATCCGTAATCTTCCAGTCAACTGTAGTCCATTAGTAGTTAAGTTTGGGGGGAGTCAAAAGTTATACACGGATTTTTGACTGCAGGGTCTGCGTCCCAAGACCCTGTGTTCAGGGTCAAGTGTATATCCAAGGTAGCCGAGGATCCCACTCTGTGCCTCACACAAAGCTTCCGAGTCAGATGGCAGGGCTGGCTGGGTGGGAGACAGACCCAGGCTCACTCCCTGCCTCCACCCCCAACCACCCATGTGCGTTGGGCAAGTTATTCAACCCTGCTTCAGTTGACTCATGTACACCCAGTCAGACTGAGAGAATGGATACGTTGCACTGGCTCCATGGTAGAGCTTCATAAATGCTCTTGTTTGGACTAATATTTATTGACTGCTTTCTAGATACCAGGAATGACACTGATACCTTCATAGGAGGAAACAGAAGCTTGCAAAAGCTCAAATTCCCCCAAGATCCCACATAGCAGGAGGAGGAGCTGTCGCTGACCCACCACCTGACACTCCACCCATTTCATTACTCAGTCCTTGAAGAGTTAAGAGGCGGGGCCTGTTTGAAAGCTCAAATGCTCAGGTGCATCTCTGTGTGGCCTTGCTGGCATGCTGATGTTCCTGGACCCGTCCACTCCACCAGCCATTCCCAGCCTTCCTTGCTTGCGTACACGTGCAGACAGTGTAACCCAGGCCAGCCCTTCCTGACATCACCACCCCTGCTGCTTTCATGGACCCCTCCGGTGGGTAAGAGGAAGGGAAGAAAAGCAGAGGCTGTGGATGTGTAAGAAAGGGTGGGCACAGAGAGCCCAGCCAGGGTTAGGAGCAAATAAAGTGCTCAACTTTTCCTGATTTCCCAGGAGCCACCGAGTTTGCACTAACGGGGAGCGTAAAAGCATTGTTGTGGCGCCATCTACTGGGCACTGTGTTCATTGCAACGAATTTGCAGTGAAATCAGGTCTGGGCCTCAGAAGAGGAGCTTTTCCACCCTGGCTGGAGACTACGGGCCAGCAGTGTCCTGAGACCTGTTGGCAACAGTTCTTTGGGGCCTTTTGTGATTACCAGGGTATAGTTTTTTCCTGATGTGAAACAATGGCTTGCCTGAAATAAAAGCCTGGCATCCCTAACTCTCTCTTGAAGAACACAGATCCTGTCTGTCTTCCCTGTTGGGACCAGAGAGGGACTTTTCATTTCTTGGTCTTGGCTTTTGTAGGTTGGGGGGGAGGCGTTTTTGTCCCATAAACATAGACCCCAGCCCCCTCCTGGAGATGCACATGTACATGCCTAAAATACCATTTGAGCCACTACAAAATCAGAGATGAAATATTATTTCCCCCCTTTTTTAAACATAACACGAGTTGGTGTATGACTGTAACTGGCTGTGGGAAGTGTGTGATCACGCAGAAGGGAAGTCTTCCTGCCGGTTCACATGGGAGGAGTGTCAAGGGCATGTCCCGCTGAGTACATGGGGCTTTGCCATGGGAGGATCCTTTCCTCCACTTTTTTTTTTTAGCTGAGCCATCCTGCCACCTGTTGGCAGCTCAGCAGCAGCTCAGCTCGGGCCGGGGACTCGAACCACTGTTGCTCAGAGCTCACACTCTTGAGTAAGCTCTTAACCAACTGAGCCACTCCTCCACTTTTAATAATTTCACTTGCCAATTGGCCATCACTCTTGACCTCTGTCCTCTCTGACAGCCACTTATCATCTGTCAAGGATTTAACCAAACCCTAGGTGGCTCGCTGAATACCCAACCCCTTGAAAACCTTGAATGTTGTCAAACACCAAAGCTGTTCATGGCTGTCCTCCGACTAAGACCTTGTTCTCCGTGATGTAAGTGGGGATGACGGTGGACTTCTTATTTTTTATCTCTTGCTCCCTAATTTTATCCAAGAAATTAGTAAAGAAAAAAAATCAGATGCTTCTGAAAACCCAGCCTGCAGCCCACCCCAAATCACATTTACTCCACAGCAAACGCTCATTTATTCCCAGTTCCGTATCAGTTACTGTGCCAGGGGCTGGGGGTGTCACCATCAACAGGCCCGTGACTGCCCTCGGTTGCTCACAGTCTCATGGGGACACCAGGCAAGAGACAGATGTTTGCAGTAGAATGCAGCATAGCACAGGCAAGCATAGAGGAAGCCCAGGACACCAGCCCAGCTTGGGGAAGGGGGTTATCCACAGACCATGGCCTGTTCCAACTGAATACACACCAAATCTTTACCAAGTTGATAAGATGGGGAGAGGTCATCCGCCCCGGGCCATGTTGACCTGGGACGCTGCATTGAAAGGCAGGTCTGGGGGTCTCTCATGCTCTCTTCTGTCTTCAAAAGATGGGAGGCCAGCTGCGACCCTCGGTACACAGTTTAGAGGTTCCATATTTGTTCTATAAACCTATCTTCCTCCTAGATTGGCCCCAGGGTCTGGTGAGGGGGACACAGCAGAGGTTTCTCAGGACTCTTTCTGAACCAGAGCTGACCTGCACCACCCTCTCCAACAAAGGGTGCCAGGCACCCTACATTTGGAGAGCTCCGGGCCCTGGCTGTGATGATGGGGGTACTGGACTCCGATCCTCAGCTATCTCTGTGTCTTTCCTCACACTGACTGACCATCCTTTGAGGCGAGGCTGCTGAGTGCATTGCGCTCTCCCCAAACCCCAGTCATGAAGCTCCGCATTGCCACCCAAATATCCTGATGCTGGTGTTTGCTTTTCTTTGTTATTCTCCAACAGCTTGTTTAAGCTCCCACTTATTATGCATTTACTACTGTGTGCAGGGCAAGGTTAAGTGTGCACATCTCAAGAAATTAGGTCACTTGACCTAGGTCTTATGGCAGAGGCGGTGTCGGAGCCCAGGTCTAGCTGAATCCTGAGTACAGCTCCAACCACCCCAGGGCCTCCACCCACAGCTGTCCCTTTGTCTCCTCGTCTTAGCACCTGTGGTGAGAGAGGACGAAAGTTACCAAGATGAGCACATTTCTCCCTGGGAGAGAGGGCATTGGGGCTGCTGGCATGGAGGTCTGTTAGCAGGGGGAGACGGACTGCTTAGGGGGCCTGAGTTAGATAGAGATGAGTACAATAATACCTTGGTTTGGGAGCATAATTCATTCCGAAAACCAACTACTCGTATTGCGAAACATCGCTCGTTTACCACCTTAAAATGCATTAGAAATATTTGCTCGTCTTGCGGGACACTCGCGAACAATGTTACTCGCAATCCAAGGTTTTACTGTACTTAGTTTCATATTGCAGTCATGGATGACTTTGCCCTTTCCTTCTCAGCTTATCAATATAAAGAGAACAAAATAAATCACTAATAAAAGATAGTTTCTTCACTAAATGACAAAGGAAAAAAATTGGTCTCTTTCTGTTTGATGAAATTCTTTATAACATTTAAGCTTCAAATTCACTATAGATGATATTTGTAACATATATATACATATATGAGATACAATTTAAACATGTTTTCTGCCAGTCATTTGAAATCCCATTTCTCCCATCTCTCCTTGGGTTACAGTTTATTTTCCTCTCTTTAATTCGGGCACTAAATGGGAACATGTTGCAATAGTTCTAGGCTAGTGGACTGACCATTCTTGGTTCACTTATCTATTGTAGCACTTACGTTGTGCCTGCTGTTTACGTTGCTGAAACTCAGGTTTGGAGTCTTGGAGGAGGAAGATGCTTTCACTTCTCATCACCTATACGTGGCCCTAAGAAACACTGGCTTGCAGAATGGTTGGCTAAGAAGGAGCCGAATGAGAATTGGCTCTGTGTGCTTCCACTACATCTCTGATGCTTTCTAGAAGGCCTGGCCAGGAGTAAACAGGAACCGTTTGTACCGTCACATGGCATTATGTACTGCTTTGCAGCTTTGAAGCCTGAACATGGGAACAGCCCATACTGTCAAACACATCTTCTCCACACTGTACAGTGTCAGCCCCAAAGCTGAAGGCGTTCCTTCCAGTGACCGTGCTGTTTGAGTTACCTCCTTCCCCTCGTGTTCTTTCCACAGCGGTCCCAGTCTGCATTCTCGCTCACCAAAGGAGAAGCCCTAAAGACCTCTTCACTGGAGGCTGCGTCAAGGCAGCCGGGGGACCATGGCCAGCAGCCCAGGGAGGAGTTGGCGTTGCCCAGCTGGAAGAGCGTGGACAGGCTGGATGAGACAAGTACGTGTTTTCAACAGCATCTAGTTGGTCTGTGGGTTTCAGAAGTGCTGTTTGGAGGCTTCTCGGCTATCGCATGGCCGCTCAGCTTTACCTCCCATCAGTCGAGTGGCGTGTGCCCATTTGGGGCAGCTGAGCCACTGAGCCAAGAGGCCTCTAGCATGGCATTCAGTATGTAATGTCATGTTTTCTGTCTGGGCAGTTTTCTTGTTGAGACCCGTCAGACAGTGGGGGACTCCTGGGCAAGTGTGTTAAACTCACTCGGCTGTACAGCCCACGTCAGATGCTTGGAGAATGGATGGAGACAGGACTACTGACTAGTCTATGGATTAGAAGGGTGTGTCTTATATAGGCCAGGAATGCTAAGCCAACCTAACAGGGCATGTCAGTATTCAAAGGGACTTGGGTCCCAGCATCGGTCTCGTTGTAAGAGTGTCTCTTCTGAAACCTCACATATTTGTCAGGGCAACACTCGCTGCTGTAACAAGTAAACCAAACATTGACGTGGTTTAACACAATAGTTTCACTTCACATCACACAACAGTACAATGCAGTGTCCTGGCTGTGGAAGGCCTTCACAGGCCCGAGGCTCCTTCTACCTGTGGCTCTGTGATTCTCTAGGACCTTCTAGAGCTTTCCACTGGGTCATTCACATCCAGCCAGCAGATAGAGAAAGAGAGAATGGAAAAGGCAGCGCACCTGCTTCCTAACCACCTCGTCAGTGAAACGGCAAGCAAAACATTCCCACACTCATTCCTTGGGGCAAGAACTAGTCACATGGCTCCACCTTGATGCAAGGGAGTCTGGGAAATGTAGTCCTGGCTAAGCAAACGTATCCTAGCAACATGGCCGTACAGTGAAAAGGGCAGGGCACATGAGTTTTTCTTTGCCACATCAGAAGATGGGGTGGCCTTTCTCTCTTCCTGCTCGTCCTCCTGGAATGTCCTGCCTCAACATAGGACGATTGAACAGGTCTCTCCAGTGACTCCGCAACACCTGTGACACACAGTCCTTTATAAAGCTGATAGGTCATGTATGCCTCACAGTGAAGAGGCCCAAATGAGTCAAGCCACTTTCCCAAAGTCACCCATCAGAAAGCCACAAGATGCTTGGACACACGGGTGACAGCAAGGACTATGATACCCCCATGCCCAGGCCAAGGAGGTCTATTGTGCCCCATGATTGTGGGGGTAAAGATGCTCACCCCCCGACACACAGGTCGGTTTCTGCCTCACCTAGAAGCACATACTTATAGTGGAAGCTAGGTATGTGTGTCCTCACAAGACGAAACCATTAAAGATATTCTCAACCCATGTTATCTTTCAAATCAGCATATCTTTCCTCCACCACAAAAAACAATAAATTAGCAGCACAAATACTCATCCCTGAAATATGCTTTTAAAGATTGTGCTATCGCCTCTGCTCCCTGGGGGAAAAGATTTAACTAACAGCTTTAAGCAAATTTCATTGTTAGCACAGTGCAAAGAATAAAAAAACAGTAAATATTTTTTAACAGTCATTCTAAAGATTTCCCGAAAGAGACTGTTTTCATGTTAACCTTTTGGTACCTACCAGTGGAAACTGCAGAGATTCTGTGAGCACATGAAATTCTCTTTATGTACGTGTATGGCTTTAGGTTTTGCTTTTTAAGTGCATTTTTCCTTTCTAAATATGCTTTCCCTCCACCTCTCTCCCCCACTGCCCAACATATCCATATTCATTCATTCATATTTTTTTCTTTCTCTGTGACCATGGATTGAAAATTCTCACAGAGAGGGGACTCTTGGATTCCACAGGATATATGAGAATATCATATAATAGAGCTTTGATAAATAATAATAGCTACCTTTTTAAAGTCACTTTACAATGTACAGAGTCCATCTATAGGCACTATTGTATTTATTCCTCCAACAGCATTACTAAGCACTGTCATTGTTCCATGTGACAGATAAAAACCTTGAAGGGCAGTGATGGAAAATGACTTGTCCAAGATCCCACAGCTTATGGGAGCATATCTGGCCCTCGAACACAAACAGCATGACTCCAATTTGCAGGTTTTTTTCAACTCATGCATCATAATGTGTCTCTCCATCATAAAAACAAACGAACGACAACAGAAACAGCATTTCAAATTTCAAACGTACAAACTGATAAACTAAAAATGTACAAAAGACACTCCATTTCACAAAATAGTTCCCCACTGAATTAGGAGCATTCCAAATAAATTGGCAGAGGAATTTGGTTTTCAAAACATGATTTTGTGCGTAATTTTCTGTAAAATTGCACACCCGCGTGTAATTTATCAGTTGTATATGAACATAAAACTTAGTTCAACAACATCAAACACGCAAAAAAGATTTTACACACTGCCCCCAAATCCATGCAGCTCTCAGAATGAAGATTTAAAATTCAAAAAAACAAAAATCAATAAATAAGGCACTTGCATAGAAAACTGCTGATTTTTCTGAGGAATGCTTGGCCCATGGCCTGATGAAATGCCCAGGCCAACCACAGAGGTCCTGACAGATGTCTGATATGTTTAGCAGGAAGCAGATCACTCCTGGGGATCCTGGCTCAGTCTCAGCAGAGCAGAAATGTAGGACAGAGGAGGCCCAGAGGGGGAGGGCATCTTAGCACATGAATGTCCCCTGGGCTGTTTTCAGCAGTTCTGTTTATGCCTCAAGGGAAGGGTGGGTTCTAGAGCCCGTTGGTCCACAGTTGGAGTGAGCTGGAGGAACACTGGGCTGAGTAGACCATAGCATCTCCACTCTCAGTCTTGACAGGGCATACAGCAGTTAATGGATTCCCCCAAAACCCACCTTCATGTTATCGACCTTGACTGAGCATCTACTGGATGCACAGCTGAGAAATAAAGATCAGCGGACAGTCCCTGTGCTTGAGTTGCTCACTGATTATTGTCTGCACACTCGTGAAAAAGTGAGGACGTGGAGAAAGCAGAGGAGGGAGAGGAGCAGGACCCCAGAGGGACGTCCCCAGGGTACAAAGAGAATGTCGTATTGGAGCCCAGGGGTGGCGTTCAGCAGTTCTGACAACGCAGCTTGACAACCAAGGTTTTCAGAGGGTTGGGTCTTCATGGAGCCGTCTGTGCTTTTGCTGAGATAAAAGTTGACCAACTCCGAGCTCCCCCGGAGGAACGTGGCAACCTGCGGTTGTAAAAGACGGGAGAGAGGAGCCAGCAGTGGGCTGCATCCCACTCCATCATGTAGTGGGTGTGGGAGGTGGGTTCAGGTAAACCCTGGAGCCAGGCACCGAGCAGCATCAGCTGGGACCTTCCCCTCTGCCTCCTCCCACGCCCCAGAGAGGCTGCAGACAGCAGGGCTCATGGAGAGCTGCACATAGGAGTCCAGTCTTACTCCTGCAGCCTCTGAGCGCCTGTGACCATTAACGAGGAGTTTTTACAAGCCCAGGATAGATTCCAGATCCGGCCGGGGGCTCGGGGTACAGCAGCGAAGAAGAGGTGGCCCTGACTTCAAGGAGCTCATAGTCAGGGTTGAGGGTGGGGTGGACAACCAAGAAAATAAACTAATGGAGTTTAAAAGTTAAAGAGCGAAGTTTTTTTGGCAAAGCTACAAGAAGAGTGGCCAGCTCCTTCAGGAGAGAAGGCCGAAGGTGTTCCTCGGGGGACCAGTGTCAGAGCATCTGGGAGGACCCTGCCTGGGTGTCCTCGCACAGCAGAGCTGCGGCCCTGCAGGCCTCAAGCCCAGGAGCTGGTGTCCTGGGAAGCGGTCCCTCCACAGTTCTGGGGTCCCCATCGCTCACCCCCAGGGGGTCCCGCAAGGTTCCTGATAAAGGAAAACGGCTTCTGTTGGCAGCTGCCATGCCAGAGGCCGCAGGGCTGGGCCAGGCGCCCGTAGCTGAAGGAGAACCATGCTGTCTGACTCCCGTCCCCAGGCCCAGAGGCAGGAAACACGTTCCTGCTCCCCTTCAGCCAAAGCAAGGGAAGCAACTTTGACCTCCGCCCTGCTGGTCCACTCTGGGGCAGCCACCAGTCATCACAGATGCTCTGGGTGGAACTGAGCCCGGGTTAGGCCAGTCCAGACCATGACCACAGACAGATCCACTCCAGCCCGCCCTGCAGAGCTTGGCAGCTGGCCGAGGGCTTCCTGTCTTAACCGGGGGCTGCCTTGGAGTTGGACAGAGATGCAGCCTGTCCCAGCTGGACCAGTTACAGGCTCTGTGACCTTTGACAAGTTGCTTCACTTGTCTTTGTTTCCCTCATCTGTAGAATGAGGTTGGAAATACCGATCCCTTTCTGCCTCGAGCCCTTTGCAGAATGGGGTATGTGCCTTGAGTTGAAAATAAGCTGAGCAGGAAAAAAACTCAGTTATCCCTCCACGGCTCACACAGAGCACATCTGTGACCAGATGTGCCGGGTTTTTTCCCCACACCAACCGGTTATCTGACAGCAGCTGGCTGTCACACAATTTAATTCAGTTCAGATACTACTTACCTGGCGCTAACGATAGATCTCACAGTTAAAGGTTCAGTCAGCCCCACATGACTTCAGATGCCAATTGCAAGTCCCAGGTTGTCATCTGGACTTTGGCCGACCAGCTATAAATCAGGGCTCCTGGGACCCCCTCTTTGGGTTCAGTGATTTGCTAGAGCAGCTCACAGATCTCAGGGAAACACTTCCATATGTTTACTGGTTTATTATGTGACAAAGGATATGATCAAGGATACCGATGGACAGACAGGTGAAAAGGTACATAGGGTAGGCCCTGAAAGGTCCCCAGCAAAGGAGCTTCTGTCCCCGTGGACTGGGGGTGTACCACCCTCCTGGCACATGAATGTGTTCATTCACCAACCCAGAAGCTCCCTGAACCCCATACTTTCGGCATTTTTATGGAGGCTTCATCATGTAGACATAACCCATTATCAGCTCATTTTCTAACCCCTCTCTCCTCTCTGAAGGATATGGGGTGGGACTAAAAGTTTTAGGTTTCTAATCATGACTTAGCCTGTCTCATAACCAGCCCTCATCCTAGAGCTACCAACAGTTGCCTCATTAGAACAAAAATTTTCAAGGAATTTAAGAGTTCTGTGTCAGGAACTGGGGTCAAAGACCAAATACTAGCAGGAAACAGAGACAGAGACGTGTGTGTGTGTGTGTGTGTGTGTTTATACATATGTATCTTATTATTTCACACATGCCATCTCATGAGGCTGCTGTGAGTGAAATTTGTAAAAGTGCCAAGAGCAGGAGTGTTTAACCTGTGCAGTAGGCCAGGGCAGGTGATGGAATTATCTCCCATCCAACTAGGAGAAATCGAGAATCTAAGAGGCAAAACCATGGTCCAAGTTCAAAGAGCCAGAACCTGGGGCTGCCAACAGCAGCCCTCTCTCCCCTTCTGCACCCAAGCCAGCCTAGGACAGGAGTGGGACAACTCTCAGGAGACAGGTAACCATCTACTCAGGTAGATATTAAATCAGAGTCAGATCTCTGAGTTTCTCTTCATCTGTGAAGCACTGGGGTCCTGTGAGGCCTCAAAGGACTTCCTGAGGACCTTGAAACCTGTCCCCGAATTAGGTGTGCCTCCCTGGACTTCTAGAGTCAGCTGCTCCCCAAGACCCCCAGGAAGCAGTCGTGGGAAAGTGACGGATGGCAACCTCACCTTGCTCTAAGGTGATAACAGCCCTCTCTGGTTTCTCTCTCCCTTCCACCTGCAGACCTGGCCCCCGTTTTGCAGAGTCCTGATGGCAACTGGGTGGCCCTGAAGGATGGCACTCTGCCCACCACCCGCCTGCTGGCCAAACCTAAGAGTGGCACGTTTCAGGCCCTGGAGGCTGCCTCCAGTGCAGCATCTGCCTACGATGAGATGGGCTCTGACAGCGAGGAGGACTTTGACTGGAGTGAGGCCTTGAGCACGCTGTGCCCATGGCCTCAGGGCCTGTCCAGAAGTCCCCAGCCTCGGCCTACACAGGCCCAAGGCTTGGACCAAGGCTCCTCAGCTGCCTCTGCCTCCTCCAGGCTCTCCCCCAACCCTGAGGCCTTGTGCTCTGACTCGGAGACCTCCTCGGCAGGCTCTTCCCGGGAAGCTGGACGTCGGGCCAGACTGTCCTGGCTGCAGAGGAAAGCTCCCAGGAACCCTGCAGCTGAGAAGATGCGCTTACAGGGAGAGCTGGATGTGAACTTCAACCCTCAGGCAGCCAGCAGGGAGACCTCGGACAGCAGCGAGCCTGAGGAGGCCCCCCATGCTGCAGACCGCAGGGCTAGGAGGTGGAGAAGGGCCCGAGTGGGCTCAGAGGAGCCAAGCAAGGAACTGACTTCCCCTGACGCCCGTACCCAGAAGCTGGACACACATCAGGCAATAAAATGGGTGCGTACAAGTACACACACACTTTCCAGTACGATGTGGCCTCCTCCAAGCACGAGTGGCGTAGAGAGCCCTGGGTTACGAATCCACAGACCCAGATTCTCATCTTGACTTTTGCTGCTTAGTAGCTGGGTGACCTGGACAGATCACCTCCACTCTCTGGGGCTCCACATCTTCCTCTGAGACATGAGAGCTTAGAGTTCCAAGTGGGCGTGCAAAGTGAGGCCCCCTGACCAGCACCACCATCAGCACCACCAGGGAACTTGTTAGAAATGCAGATTCTCAGGCTCCACCCCAGACCTTCTGAATCAAAAACTCGGGGGTTGGGGCCCAGCCATCTCTCTTGTAATAAGCTCTCCTGGTGAGTCTGCTGTGCATTAAAGTTTGAGGGCCGCTAGCTTTGGGTTAAGGAAATGGGTCTAGAGTCAGCCTTCCTGGGTTCAAAAACAGCTGTGTGACCTTGGCCACGGCACCCCTCTGGGTTTCAGCCTCCTCATCTATGAAGTGGAAATAATAGTAGAACCCACTTCAAAAATGGCTGAGATGAGTGAATACGATAATGTTTAGAAAGAACTGAGCTTTGTCCTAGACACAGCACAAGGGCTCAGTAAATGTGATTTCAATATGATAATTCAGGGCACCGTTTCCTAACATGCTCTGATTCTTTAGTCCACATCACACCCCTTGTCAGAACCCTGCGTGGCTCTGCCCACATGGTCTAGCTCATGAACCTCCTTTGAGAACATGATTAAAGCTGTAGACTCTCTTCCTTGAAAAAATGCACCTGCATCCCCCCCACACACACACACACCATTTTGCTTAGAATTTTAGGAGTTTATTAACGAGATTAAATTTATATTCTCTAAATACTTGCTGCTTGTTCCCAGCTCTATGCCGTGCCCTTGCCCTCGCCTCTTCCTGGGGAAGGGCTGTGATCGCCGTGGACTGAATACCGAACTTTGTGGAGCCCGCTCTGGCCTTCCCATAGCAATATTTCCTAAACTCAAGAGCGATACAGGTAGCCAGGGAAGTTTAAATGACCTTATACAAGTATAAGCAATGGATTGCGGTATCTGAAACTGAGAGGCTTATGGAAGACAGTTATGTTACCTCTGCCTTCTGTAGGGACATCCTCATCAATCACTTACATTCCTATCAACTTGACTTTTTTTGCTCCTGGAGAAACCACACCCACTTCCTGAACGTCACTGCCTCTTCAGTAGTACCCAGCTACTATGCCCTGCACTCTTAGTTTCAGTTCCACCAAAAGCAGGTCCTGAGTCAAGGATTTGGATGTAGGTTTGTGTGGGAGGAGACCCCGGGAAGCCCACGAGTGACACAGGGAAGTGAGCAAGCCCGGTTAATGCATGCCGTCGGCAAGTAGGGCTCCATCCTACCAGGGACCCTCTGAGAAGCCATGTGATCACAGCTCAGGGTTCTCCCACTAGAAGACAGAGCAGTTACCACACTCTACCATCTCCCATTAGTGGAGAGTGGTCCCACCCAGGGTGGACATTAACTCCATACACAGCCAGGTTTGCATGGATGCTGCCGGAGAAATCCCTCAGGTGGAGAAGAAGAGAGAGACCCAGGTGGGAAACTCAGTAGGCCAGAAACCATCACTCACGGCTGGCTGCGGGCAACGCGTGTATTAATAGACCCAGGGGGGTACAGGCTGGGGACATCACCAGCATCTGCTACGATGCCCTCCCATGAATGTGTCAGCCACATCCCTGATCCTGGGGCCCCCATGTAAATAGGTGTAGACTCAAAGGTCCTTAGATCACAGAGTGTGGCATCGTCCTCCTGACTTGCTGATACACTGCCTAGAAAAAGCCCTTGATTTGGTCCAAGTTCGCATTTTCCCCTGTGTAAAACAAGATCGTTACAGATCTACCTCCTGGGACTGTTGTGATTATAGTGTAGAAATACCGAGTTCTGTGTAACTGTGAATCATTACCTAGCTCAAGTGGAGACTCTGGGTAATTTCCCTCAGGGGTATTCTTGCGGGTTGTCTGCATGATTCACTTGCAGGTATAAAATGCCACATACCCATCAGAACTAGGTGTCTGATGCTCTCTATTTATTCTGAAGTGGCTTGAAAGTTGTCTTCTGGTGTTAATCTTTGCAAGGCATCAACAAGAAGTCAAGGACCTGCAGAAAGGCACTGGGACCAGCGTTATCAGCCTCCCCGGCAGTGTCCTCTCCTCCCCGCTAGGTGGCGATGACGTTGCACTTCTGGGGACCAAAACACTGGCTCTCGTGGTCCTCCCTTCTATTTAGTTTACTAGGGCAGTTCTCTTCTCAAAAGAAAAAGTAAATATATGTTTTTTATTGTAAAAATATAATTAAACTTCATACTTTTACATTATAAATTTTAAAACATCCAGATACCCCTTGACCACAAACTCTAAATCCCTGTTATCTCCCCTAAAATGACTATAGTTGTAGTTGTGCATTCATATACGTAGAGTATATTTAGAAATATAGTTCTGTAAATGTGCCTGTGTTTTACCAAAATCAGCACCTTACTCGCTATATTCTTCTGCCCCCTTCTCTTAACATGAAGTGATAGCGATATGAGCACACACAGAACTACATACACATTGTACCTGCAAAAGATTGCATCTCATGGTCCCCAAGAGGAGCCTGGGCGTGGGAGCAGTCCATCCAGGGTGCAAGCAATAAGGGTGCATTGCCCGCAGAGAATTTTTAAACAAAACTAAATCTAATAAAATTCAGTCTTTTTATTATCCCTTTGCCCCACGCATGGAAAATTCTAAGCAATGCTAGTGATAAAAGACTGTTTCCCTGTTGGGACAGGCTGCCCCCATTGTCCACCCAACCCGCTGGGTTCGCCACTGCTCCATGGCGGGCAGGAATCCACAATCAATAGTTCCCCTAATGATGGATATTTAAGATTTTCCAGTGGTTGATGTTATAAATGATACTGCAGAGAATTTCATTGTGCAAGCCTCTTTATACAAGTACAGGTACAGGAAGTCGAATTGCTGTCTTGAGGGATATATGCATCTTTAATTTTAATGAGTATTGCCAAATTGAGCTCCCAAAACCTCATAGCAATTTGCATAGCCATGGAACTGTTTGAGTGTGTTTTCTCCTATTGTCAACAATGCTTACTTAGTGCTGTCAGTCTGTTAAAATTGTTGCCCACTGTATGTGAGGAAAAAAATATATTTCTTTTTAGTTAACATTTTCATGGTTACTACTGAGGTTAAGCATTTTTTCTTATATTTAAAGCTATTTGCATTTTTTCTTCTGTGAAAGAAGATGGAATGAAATCTGTGGGTCACAGTCCTCTTTTCTCCAACACTCTGCAGCAGATCATTTTAGTGCTGGATAGAAGCCTGAAGACAGACTAATTTTTCCATCACATATAACATTTGTCTCTTCTCTTCAAAGTTTGATTTTTGTAGCTTTAAAAAGCAACATTTTGCCAGAATGGTAGGTGTGTGCTCATTTTATGCTGTGTCACGTAATATAGACACACTCAGGTGCTTTTTCAACTCAGGAGCATTTTCTTCTGTTACTGTGACTACTACTTCTTCCAGGCCATCCATACCTCCTGTGTTGAATCTCGATTCTCTGTCTTCCATGTCTGTGATATTCTCTTACTGTTTTCCTGCTTTGATGTTTTCCTCAACCTTCTAGGAAACCTCCCCAAGTTTGTCCTCCACATCACTCCTTTTCCCAAGATAAATTCTGCTGTTACTCTCTTCAATTGCAGGTTCTAATCCTGCTGCTGAATTATCAGCCTTTCTTCAACCTTTTTTCTCATCCATCCCCTCTTTTCATCTCATCCTATAATCTTTTAGACTGGGCACTTCTCCCTGATAACTTTCTACTCCTCTTCATTGACTCTTTGTTTTATTACTCCCTAATGAAAATGCAAAACTGCTATCAGACATTGTGTCATGGTAGTCAGTAAAGTTTGTGTGATGTATGTAAGCTAACTTTTACTTTATTGCTCTGTAGTATTTTTCCATAGGTTCATGTGAACCTTTTCTGTTAGTCATTATTGAATGAGGATAATGCTTTTCCCACCCTGTTCTTTGCCAGTATCTAGAATACTCAAGTCATTTCCCCTCTGCTCGCTTAAGATAAGGGTTTTTCCTACTCTCATTGCCTTGCTCTGTGTGTCTTTGAACAGATGGCTAAGAACCTAGCTGCAGTACTGAACATGTCAATGTTGAATAAATGAATGAATGAGTGAATGGAAAACAACACAAACCACTGTACACTTCCACATGGCTTTTATAGTCTCCATCCTAGGGCTTTCCATTTCATGGCCATACCTCCTAGATGTAGCTTGCCACTATGACTAGTTCTTCCCTCTACCCACTTGCAGGCTTGGGGGGAAATACATTTTCTAAGTGGCCGTAAAATGGAGCAGGATTAAGGAGGGTTGGAAGTAAGGCTTATCTTTGGATGCTTAAAAAGCCCTACCACCACAATAGAAGGCTCAGAAGTTGTGTGTTTGTTTTGTTTTGTTTTATGATGATCATTTATCTTACATTCTGGATCATTGCTCTTATATTTACCTAACATTGAAGCTGGGAGCATATTGGTGGGGAGGGTCAACAGTTCTTCTGACTACACCAGGTCCTTTGAATAACACTGTTTTGTTCAATGTCATTTCGTTATAACGTTGATGAGAATTTAAAAAAATTGATTCCCAGCCGGAGCCACAGTCTGTGTGGAGTTTGCACGTTCTCCCCACGTCTGCATGGGTTTTGTCCACGTACTCTGGTTCCCTCCCGTATCCCAAAAATGTGCATGTGAGGCGAACTGGTGTGTCTACATTGTCCCAGTCTGAGTGAGTGTGGGGATATGTGAGTGGCCCTGTGATGGAAGGGCGTCCTGTACTTTGAGCTGCTGAGACAGGCTCTGGCCACCCGTGACCCTGAACTAGCATAAGTGGATTGGAAAATAATTATCTTACTTGTTTCTATTAATCTTTCTTAAATGTATGTATAGCTCACATTTGTTTCAATGTTTAGTATTAGAAGTGTTTGGAACCTTTCTTTGGTGATGTTTTTGTGACCAGAAATATGCCATAGGGACTTACCTCTTGTTTATGTCAATTAGCCTACAGTAAAATTGGTTTCATTATACGTCATTTCTTTTTTTTTTATTGTTAGTTTCAGGTGTACAGTACAATGCAATAGTTGTCCTTTTCACCCTCACAAAGTAACAACCCCCCTCTTCCCCTCTACTGCCCTCCCCCCCGATATCATGCTTATCTATTACAATTCCATTGACTCCATTCCCACTCTCTACTCCATGTCCCGTGACTATATCATTATAGTTGACATACAATATTATTCAACATCAGCTTCAGAAATACAGTGTGGTGGTCAGACCTCTACACCGACTGTGAGGTGGTCTCCCCCACAAGACATGAGTCCATCTGGCCCCCTAAGAAATATTTACAACATTATTGATTATATTCCCCAGACTGTCTTTTTCCTTCCGTGGGGCCATATTGTGATTACCATTTGTATTGTCTCATCCCTTCCCCTTCTCCTTCATCCCCACCCCTCCCAAATAACAACCCTCAGTTTTTCCTCTGTGTCTCTGTGTCTCCCATCCATTCAGTTCCTTAGAATCCACGTATAAGTGAGATCATATGATATTTGTCTTTCTCTGACTGACTTATTTCACTTAAAGTCATAGTTCCCAAGAACCTATCGACAATGTTAAGTGAGGACTTACTGTACCTATTTTTCTTTGGAAATGTAACTGTTTGTTAATCTACTTGATAAGTTGTCCACAGCCAAATATTACTAAGTTAGTTTTGAAGCTCTGGTGACTTTGGACAATGATGCTTCCATCCATGTTTATGGTATCGCATGTCCTGGGTGTCAGGTCCCAGAGTCCATATTGAGCTCTAGGGCCATCACTTAGCATTAATACAATTCTCCATTTAAGTAAAGCTTGAGGTGTAGCCTGACAACTTTTAGGCTTCCATTCTTAAAGATTCAGCTCAGGTTTCACCTATCCCAATTTCTCTTCCCTGACAATATCCGCTTCAAACAGCTAGGTGAGGGTTCCTCCTTGGAGTCTCATCAAACCCTTCCATGTTGTACCCCAGTGTGTTACAATAATCTAGTTAGATATTCCTCTCTCTGCCAAACCATGGATTCTGCCAGAGCAGGAACGTTTGTCACTCTCACTTTTGAGCTTTGGTGGCCAGCACAGAGCCCAGCAGAGAGTAGGTGCTAAATGCATGTTTGCCGAATGTGAACTGAATCACCATTGGCTAATTCTTCATGAGTTCCCATGTGATAGAGAAATAGGCCAAAGCTAAAGAAAAGCAAACCAGAGTTAGGATGAATCTGCAGTTCAGTGTTAAATCTGTTGAGTGAGATGGTAAGAGAAGGTTACCAGATGTGAGTCTGCCACAACGGTAGCAGCCAAACTGTTTGATAGATAAAGCTCAGTTCCTTAGGCTGATGCTTCACCCCCTGCAGTCTGATCCAGGCCTGTTTTCTTCTTGCCCCCAAGCTCCCCTCTCTCTCCACTTCTAAGCTGTTTTCCTCTAACTACGTCAAGCAGTTTTCATACACGCTGGGTCTTATTGGCCCTGCTGCTTCCTCAAGAATGCCTGAACTCATGTCTGCATTAAAATGGTCCTCATATTTCAGGAGTCTTCTCAGAGGCCATTCTTTCCATAGAGCTCCCCCATACCTCCAAAGGAATTCCTCCTTCTCAAATGTGCTGGCAATCCTAGTCACCTCTCCTGAGGCTCTCATCATTGATTCTTGTTCAGAACCAAAAAAATAGTCATTTCCAATGGACCCTTTTTCTTTTATCAATCCAGTGATTCTTTTTCTCATTTCTATAATCTATTTCCTTCTAATCACCTTTCTGTAGGCAACTTTTTTTAGCCTTTGTCCAATTACAAACTGTATCAAGCCAATTTGATGTACAGACATCATAAAGAATGAAAGAATCTGTCACACATCTTTTTAGCAAAACAGGATGGTCAAGATTCTTGTCACAAGATGTGCGTGATGAAGCCCTTCCTGTTGAATGAAATGAAATGAGACTCAATGGAAATACCATTATTTTCTTTTGTCCTTATGAATGCACTGTTTACTCATTGATTCTTGAGTTTGAGATAATTCACCTAGGACGCTATCATGTAAATACTCTTAGTCTGAGGTTTTACATATACAATCAACTTCACCGTCATGGTCAGAGTCTGAAAAGCTGCTCTCCTCTTTGAATTCATCTTCTGAGTCATCTAATAATTGTGAAATGTTGCTCTCTGTCAGAGTTTTCTTTGCCGTTATGAAATTCTGAATTCTCAACTGTACACAATGAACTAAAAGCTGACTCAGAATGGTGATGATTTATTTTGCTATTGAGTCATCCTTCCAGGCAATTCTATTTTTCTGTTTTATTATCTTAGTCTCTTTTAGCATAATTGGGAATAACTAGTGAGTTATAATGAAAGATATTTCCCAGGATGATGAAATAGCAAAATATTTGAAAAGATAGGGAAAATAAGGTCACAGATATCCCATTGTGTACCTTAGATGTATAAAAAGGCCCAGTGAACCCATATAGTAAATGCAAAATAGAATGACTTTTATTTAAAATATAAGTCAATTTTCTCTTTGTTCTTTGGGAGCCCTTCATAGAAGAATAAAAGCCATAAAATATCAAGCCTTATCAACAGATCAAACAACTCAGAGAGGAAACTCAAAACCTAAAATTGGACCTGGTGGTAGGCTGAGGGTTGTCTTGGTAACATTCCATACACATCTGTCCAACTTAAGGCCAAGAATAGAGTGACTGTCACAGCCTCTGTGTCTTCCTGGAGTTCTCCAGGCCTGGCAAGGGGTCTACTCATAGAAGGAGCTTAGGGGAGTTTCACCAAGTGGATAGAAGGGACCAGAGATGTAACTATCAAGGGACGTCTCACAGTAGTCCTTCCATCTGTGCATGGGTCTCGCTCCATCTCAACACCTTTGCTCTTTGCCTAGAGCCCTGTTCTTCCCTCTGTCCCTTTTAGCTGGGCACCTGCTACACTTTGAATCTCAACTCAATCATGGCTTCCACAAGGAAGACTTCCTGAACCCCAGCCCCTCCCATCAAGTGCCCCTTAGTGGGCTGGCAGAGCCTCGCTTCCCACCCACCCCTTCTGAGCACTCACCGTAGTGACAGTTAGTATGTAAGGCCTTAGCGTGCCTCCTTCACTAGGGGCCAGTGGGGCTGTGGCCAGGGTGGCTCATCGTTTCATCATCAGCACCAACACCATGCTGCCCATGGTGGGCGCTCAGTAAGCATTTTGTGAGTGAAAAGCAGTGAATGGATTCACACATGTTTCTGAGTACAGATGCTCGCCTTCCTGAACCCTTCAACAAGGTGTTAAGATGCATGTGTTTGAGAAAGTAAAAAGCGAAAGGCCCCTGTAGAGGAAACATCAGTTTCCTGGACAACTCTTCACAGATGGTGATTGGGGTCAACAAGCAACATGACTGCAGCAGAGGCCTCCTCAGCTCATGATTCTGGTTTTCATTTAGGTGTCGGGTGATTTATCAGACACTGACCTCAGCAGTGAGACTCAAAACCCCCGGACCAGCACAGACAGCACGGAGGAGAAAGTGAGAAACAGGCTGTTCAAGTTAGCAATGAGAATGAGGGAGAAGGAGACTTCTTCAGGGGAGGACCAGGAGTCCGAACCCAAGACAGAGTCTGAGACCCAGAAGGAAAGTCTGTCCTCTGAAGACAACAGCCAGAGTGTCCAGGAAGAGCTGAAGAAGGTAAGGGCTGTGAGCTACTTGCCGGCAGCTCGGCTCCTGCAGCCTGGGGGTGGGGAAAGGGTCTGTATCTGCACAGAGATGCATGTGATTCCCAAGAGCTCCCTAAAATGGCCATCCCTGTGCATCGGGGAGAGCCCAAGAGAACCCGTCTTGATTGGCGCTGAGTGGTTCCATCAGGAAACCAGCACCGTGTGTCCTGGGGACATCTTCCAAGACCTCTTGTCTCCTTGCTATCCTTCATCGAGGCAGCCCTTGGGTCTCAAGCCTATGTGAGGGCCCATGATCTCTCATTGGTAAGGAGCGGTGTTATTTCCCACCCACCCTCTACCTGAGGAACCCTGCCTGTGGGTTGGGAACATCTTTGAGTCAATGATGAAGCTTCATTCCATGGTCTTTGTGTCAAAGTAACCTCTGGATCATTTATCTCCGTAGTTTTCAGATTTGGGCTTGTTTGTCTTCGCCTCAGAATCCTTTCTTCAAACAAACCTCATGTGGAATCCCCTTAACAGACAAAACCACTGCTGCTCTTAGTCCCAAAGCCCCAACCACTGGATCTTCAGCCCCACCCTTCGCCTTCCCCCTGACTCCCACCAGCCAGCCCCTGAGTTCCAAGGGACATTGTGTGAAAACCGCAGAAGATAGACCCAGCCCCTGGCAGAAGGGGTCCCAGACTCCCTGCGTCCAGTCAGTGCTCTGTCCCCTGCCCTCCAGCACATACCTGGGTTCTCTCTACAGCTTCTCCAAGCACGTTCATGCTAGACTTGGCCACTTTAGAGTCAGAATATCCCAGCTGCCTCCAAAGGAAGGGGAGGAAGCTAACATTTGTTGAGTGTCTCCTGTGTGCCTGCTGCTTTGTACATGTTGGTTAGTTCGTTTAATAAAACCTTTGAAGTAGAGGCAGCCCCGTTTGCAGATGAGGAAACTGAGGCTAGTCAGGAAGGAACGTACCCAAGGCCACAGCTAGTAGGTTTCAGAGCTGGGGCTGCAGCATACACCTGGTTGACCTCAAATCATGGGCTCCTTCCTTTACGACTTGCCTCTTCTGTAACTCAGATCAGATCTTGTCTTGAAACACCTAGATTTCTTTGCACTTGTGATCAGTTTTTTCCTGTGTTGAGAATATGCCATATAAGCCAACAAGTTGCTGGTAGCCCATGTGCACAGGTGAATGAGCCCCCTTCACCTGCTCAACAGCCAAGCTGGGGTACTGTGGCGTAGCCAGGCCAACCTCAGAATGACCGCAGGTGGTCAACAGCAGGCCCACAGGGAAGCAGGGACTGTCCTCCATGGCTGAGCCCCTGAAACTTGCAGCACCTCAGACTCTGCCTCTCACTCATTCCCGTCCCAGCCGCCATAAACGTGGAGTCCTCACTCATAAATCTGCCAGGCCTCTGCCTGTGGACAGCGTCCCTGTCTTTCCTCTGGTACGTCTGTAGGTTGGAAGAGCAGAACTTGGCCTTCACAGGCAGCCCCTCTGGAGATGTGGGCTCCAGCTCATTACTTCCTCAATGGCGATGGGCTCTGATCCTGTTACTGGAACCGATGCCCCGTCACATTTGTCTGCTAGAGCTGAGAGCCAGGTGGTAACTGAAGAATATCACATTGTTTCTTACAAGGGCTCTGCATCCTCTGGCTTTGCTACCTGGTGGCCCCAAGGCTCCAGCTAGTCACACTGTGCCAGCGGCATGCCAGGCTGTGATGAGCCACGCCCCCACTGCTCATCAGCTTGCAGGCCTCACCTCCTGGAGTCCTAGCCACCAGACTGTGCTGTGCTCTCCCCGGCAGAATGTGAACAGGGAAAGGAGGGAGAGGGGGGATGGGGAATCCTGGGCACGTGCACAAGCCCCCCCACCCCACCCCACCCCCATCCTGCCCTGTGCCCTTGCTGAGCAGGAAATTAGGAGCGTTGTTCTCATTCAAACCCCCAAATGTGTCAGTTTCTCAAAATTTTAGGTCTTTCCCCCAGCCTACCATAAATCAATGAATTAAATATTAACCAGGTATCAGTTGCTGTATGTAAAAATCCATGTAGCCAACAAAAAAAGATAATTAGTACATTTTTCTCCAGGCATGGGCTGCTCTGATGAAAGGAAAACAGAAATTCAGGTTTACATATCAAATATTATTTAGAATAAGAAGGGCATAGAGACAATCTTCAGGATTAGGCTGAGTTTGAAACACAACCGTGCACTTTACAAACTCTGTGGACTTGGGTTCATGTCTTGGCTCACTGCCCCTGCTGAGAACAAGCCAGGGTCATTCCTTGCCTGCTTACGGCACCCCGCCTCAGAGCTGTCCTCCCCATCCCTCTGGGCCCTTTTTGGCTTTCCCCACTTAGCAGCAGAGCTGCTCCCAACATGTGAACAAGCCCACGTCTGTCTGATTTTTAACCGATCCCTAGGACCCAGCCCTGGTCTTCATTGTTGATTGGATAAACACATCACGGCCTCATCTGTAAATAGGGATAACCGTCCCCCTGGTAGGGGTGTGAGGACCGAATTATGCAGCATAGGGTTTAGCACATAGCAGGAGCCCAGCAGATATAAACTGTTGTTTCCCCTTGAACAGTCCCAAGGAAAGTAAACTTCCCTGCCATGAAATAACATCCAAAGGAACAGCCTAGTTCCCGTTTCCAGCCAGCACTCGCAGTGTCGAGCCATAGGTCTGCAGCCACATTTGGCACTTCGTCACGCCACGCAGGATGCAATGGGGAAGACACTGCATCAGAAACCTCAGGGTCCCCTTGTCAGGATCAGAATAACAATGACTTCCCTGTGATCCAGCTGCAACTAATTTGTATGCTCACACACACATGCGTGTGCGCGCGCGCGCACACACACGTGCACACACTGGCACAGTTGGAGGTGGAGCTGAGCTGATGTGCCTCTCCCAGAAGCCATCAGGGCTCACAGTATCTGTTTACCACAGTAGTGCACTGGCCCAAAGTTCAACTGCCTGAGGCCCCTGAGGCGGCAGGGGCTCCTTGTCCTGTGCAGAAGGCAGGCTGGGCATGAGAGAAGTAGGCTCCCCAGGAGCAGCCCGTCCCAGTGACTGATGGGAAGAGCGTAGATCCTCCAGCTCCCTTGTGCCTGTTGGGAGCTGACTCTGGGACATGAGCTGCACACTGAGCAGAATGAGCTCTGGGCACCCACAGGGATGAACAGCCTCAGAAGGCAGCCTTCACGGACTCCTTCCTGTTTGCTGCCTCACTTCCCCTCTCCTCCACCACTGTTTCCTGGGCTCACCTCCCAAATAAACTACATGCACTCAAATCCCTGTCTCTGAGTCTGCCTCTGGGGGCAAAAAAAAAAAAAGCCAGACTGAGACAGAAATCAAACAGAAGAGTCCCCAGTTCACAAAATCTCATGTCAGTGTTGTGACTTAGCAGTGGGACAACCCAAATGCCAATTGGCTGCTGATTGCCTTTGTCTTATCAAGAGGGTCCTTGCCTGATTCGGAGAGAGAGCTTTATCCAGATGTCACTGTCCCTCCTGCCTCCACCGCTGGCCCTGCTCTCCGGGAGCCAAAGTGGAGGAATGTGCATGTCCCTAGAGACATAGTGACATCAGTGGCAGTTCAGTGTCCTTGGTATGAAAACCCATCTAGGAATTAGGGCTTCAGGATCCTGTCCAGAGGCAGAAGAACCATTTTAGAAACATGCTTTTTCTTGACTTGAGGGAGCCCTTTGCGGTGGGCAGACGTGGCTCTGGACTTGGCACACTCGGGCTGGGAGCTGGGAGGCCAATGATGATTCCAGGATGGTCACTGCCACCTGCATTGTAACTAGCTGAAGAATGAAAGTACAGAGCTTGGGGTCCGCCCAGAAACCTCCCAGGAGCTGGACACCCAAAGGTTCATGGTTTTTCTTTAAGTCAGCTTGGTTCCATTGAGCCTCAGTCATCAGCCTCCTGAACCATGGGGTCCTCAGAGCCCAGCAACGAGCACTTGCTTCTCTTCTACCACTGGGCAGGTGGCCATGCCAGTGGCTCTGCAGCGAAGTCCTGGCTGAAGTGGTTCTTAGAACCATTTGCTTCCAGGTGTTGTAAACTGGCCAAATAATTCTCTAGGTAGTCCACCAAAAGAGTGGTTTATTTGGGAAAATAAAAAGAAACAAAGCCACCAAGGAGCGTGTGAATGCACGTTTGCCAGCCAGTGTTCCAACCGGCCACCCACGTGCAAAAAAAAAACAAAAAACAAAAAACCCGATTCCAAGATGGCTTCCTATTTATTAGCATCCCTCCCCCCGGAAGTTACCACAAAGTGTAACAGGAAGTCAAGACTAGAGCGTTAAGGGGCCCAGCTCCACCCATATTCCTCCCAGCTCTATGGTTAATCATCTTAAGATGCCAGTTCACTTTTATCAGTGTGCAGGTGCTGCATTCCTGAAAGAGGGATGCAAACAAGTGCCTGAGTACTCCTAGTACTCAGGTACTAGTACTCCAAGTACTCCTAGCCTGAGTTTGGAGACCACGTTCAGGAGCTGAATCTCCCACAAACCCCCTAATCATTCCAGGCTTGGAGCAGTGATCTCCGAAGTCCCTTCTGGCTTCAAAATCCCATGGATCTAGATAGGTCACAGATTAAATGGGTTGTTGTTTCCTGACATAAGTATCACTTATGACACTGTTTATACGACAATGTCCTATGTGTCAAGCTTTTGGAATGTGAGTGTTGAAGCCCTAAATTTGTAAATTCTTACAATATAGTCAAATTTGTATATCCACTATCCTGAAAGCATTTTATTTAAAGTGTCTTTGTTTATTAATTTTTATCACAAGTCACTGAATCATTGTGCTTTATTTTCACAAGGGAGTCACAGACCAGCTGTTATCTCCCATATTTATAGTTTCATGGAATAATTCTCATCAAAGTACTGAGACTTCTCTAAACTAAAGTATCTTTCGAGGTGAATTTGTGCATCTTCTCATGACTGCTCCCCATTTCCTAACATGAGATCACATGGAAACACAACCCTGGTCAGTGATCAAGGAGGCAGGTTTGTCGAATGTTGTCTAAGAAAACCCAGAACCTTGGGTTTCTGAAGTTCAAAATGCTTGTGAGAAACTTTTGGTTGATATCACAGTGTCGACTTAAAATCAAGTACAGTAATACCTTGATTTGCGAGCATAATTCATTCCAGAAACAAACTACTCATATTGCAAGACATCACTCGTTTACCACGTTAAAATGTATTAGAAATGTTTGCTCATCTTGTGGAACACTTGCAAACCACGTTACTCGCAATCCAAGGTTTTACTGTATTGTCCATCTGTATCTCACCCCTGCAGAATAACTCACCGTTCACCAGAGGATTCAATGTCTTTATCTCAGGTAGCATTTTTATTGCAGAAGAGTGCAGTGTTAGATACTAACTTATATCTTATGAACTATACTGATCTCAGTGGGCCGTATGCCTATTGAGGAATTAACACCTCTTTTCTACCTTTCTATTTAACCATTGCCCTAGGAAAACAGAGATGCTTTAGCTGTCCACTTAGAGCTACAGCTCTTATCCACAGTGCTTGAACAGGTGAGGCGGTTTCATTTCACTCGCGCTGTTGCTGGCTTCACTCATGTCATCATGGCTTCGCACATTCCCACAACTGTGACCTGTGTATGGAGGGGCGGGGGGGAGAGGAAAGGGGGTTGTTGCCTGGCTGGGAAGACAGAGCCCCAGGTTCTCTCCTGGGTCACTGGGACTGCAACAGAACATCTTTGTCTCGAGGAAAGAGATGAACTGAGTACTAGAGGAAGAGTGTCCAGAGCTCCAGTGCAGTGCAGGTGTTATCTGAAGGCCCAGGAAAAACTGACATTGCCTCCACCATAGCAGTAGAAGGGGACATAGGACAGATGTGGTTTGAAGAGAGAAAACCAGAGTAGCTCATTTATCCTAAGGGAAAACTGGACAAACAGCCAAGGGTATATAGCACAACGCAGTTCACCAAGCATCATATTTTTATTGTAGGAAAACATACAAAAAAACCTAGATGTCCAACAATAAGGGGCTCTTGGGGAAATGGAGGGGATGAGGCCCAGAAAACAGATGGGGCATAGGCACTGCAATAGCAAAGACGGATTGGTCCAGATACAAGTAAGCGGGTAAATTTGATGTCATGAAGTTGAAGAGGTTTTGTTTTATGTTCTAGCTTTTCTCTCCTGTCTTGAGCTTTTGAACTAGAAGGCAAGTTTGTCTTCTAAAAGTGAGCAGATAATGGAATTGGAGTTTCAGCATTGTGGAGAGGGTTTGAAATAGCTATTGCATAGAACAGGAGAGAAAGCAATGTTTAGAAATAGAAAGGCTCCCCAGGCAGCAATAAAAACTTAGATAAGGTCAGAGATCATGAATGTTACTTGAGATATATAGCCTATGAAAGGATACAGCAACCTTGAATGCAAATACATGCAAAATACAAATCCATTGTAGTCAAAGAAAAGGTCTGCTAGTATCAGGTCTATTCATAAATCTGCATCATTCAGCATAATTACATAGCACAGCTCAAGTGGTTCTGAGGTTTACAATAGAACTTCCCATGTCAGGAGCTTTTAGGTTAGCCATCAATGTGCCATGAACTAAAATTTGCAGATAAATCTCAAACCAGATTGGGGGAGGTAGGGGGTAAAATGGAAATTAATTCCCTCCATAATAGGAGCAGAACACGCGAAATTAAAGCTTAACGAGAAAACCGCATATCTCCAAGAAACCTAGCAGTCTGCTAGTAGGCAAGACAGTGTAAAGATGAATTGTTCCAAAATTAGGGTAGGAGTTTAATGGAATTCAAATCAAAATCCAAACTGGACTTTTTTTTTTATCTCTCCAAAAGGATTTTTGAAATTATCTGATAGAATAAAATCAAGAATAATTTAGAAATTTTAGAAAAAAATAAAGGAGGAATGAAGAGGGCCTAGTTATTAAGATATTACCTTATGTTTTTAAAGGCACAATAATCAAATTTGTGAATATTGATTTAAGATGCAATGAAATAATCCCGAGGATATCATAGAATATATTAAAATTTAACTCATGACTTATCTTATGACTTCTACCCACCTCTCTCACCTCTAGTTGTAAAGAGATCACTTCCTAATAAATGGTGCTGGGACAAATATTCACTTGTTCTTTTGGGGAGGGGAGAATGTGGCTTGAGGGGAAGGTCCTTAATTTTCACACCAATGAAGGAACAGATGGATCCTCCTGGTTTGCAGGCCCAGCAATACTTACAGGAGACAATAAAGACATGCCCGACTTCCCGTGGGAGCCATGGTGCCACAATCCTTGTTCATTCACCATTTAGTCAACAAATAATGGTTGAACTATTGAGTGAGCTGCATGACAGTAGGCATAAGAAAGGGACGTTCCCTGCTCTCAGGGATTTACCTTCTGTTGGAGGAGAGCTGATAGATACATAAACACATGGAGGGGAAGATGTCAGAGAGTGGTAAGTGCTAAGAAGAAGGCTAAGCATGGCAGTGATGGGACCGAGTTGGAAGGAGAAAGCGTCCTGGCTGGTCTGGCCCTTTCTGACCAAGTGTCTCTCAGGCTGAGACCTGAAGGACAAGAGGGAAAAAGTCAGGCAGAGACCTCCATGATGGGCTTACCAGGCAGAGGAACCCATGCAAGGCTTTAAGGTGAAAATGACCTTGACAAGTTCAAGGAACAGATTTCAGATCCAGGGTAGCTGGAGCGACATGGCCCAAGGGAACGTGGTGGGAGAAGGGAGAGAAGGCAGGGGCTAGAGCAAGCAGGGCCGTGTTGGCCACGCAGAGAACTTTGACTTTTATTCTGGGCGAGGTAGGAAGCACCTGGAAAGTTTCAGCAGAGAAATAACAAGGAGGACCTTACATTTATCAAGGTCACCCTGGCTGCCATGTGCCACTTCCTTTCCTAGTGAACATGGACGAACATGGAAGCTCATGTCTCCTTGAGCGTCCACAGAGCTGAGCATGTGCCCTCGTGATGCCCTGGTTACTGCCAGCAGTGGGGAAGTGTTTCTAGTCTGTATCAGGAACCATTTTTTCTGAGGAATAGCCAGTATACAAAAGCGAAAAATATTAATGAGTGTGGTTGCCTCCTTGGGCAGGAAAAAAAGTCCTGCCTGGTCTACACCTGCCAGGGAGGGTTGGTCACAGGTAATGGTCCCAGGGCCTGAAGTGGCCTTGGTCAAGTGGCCCACATCAAGTCACAGGGACTCCACCCAGGAAGGGCAAGAAAATGGCCTCAGGGAAACAGACAAGTGGGTTTAATTCTGGAACTAAACTGCAAATAGCACATTTTTAAAAATTCATTTCTACAATCACCATTTTAAAAAAATGTTATTTCTTTTCTAAATGGTTTGATTATCAAAACCTAGATGCTTTAAGAAACCACTCCTAGAGGTGAGTTCTTTATTCTCTGTCATGTTTCATTATTTCAGTTTGTTACATATGCGAATTTATTAGGTTCATGCTCCAATTTCTTTCCAAAATTCTGCGCCACCCTCCTTCATCAAGTCACTCTTCTGGGACACGAATCTCTTTGTGGAAAATGTATTTTGATGGGTTGTAGAGGCCTCGCCGGAACGCCTTATGTTTCACGAGCACTGAAACATATTTGCATTGAATTTTCCTAGCAGATTTCTGTCAACTATTTAGGAGGACATATGGAGTTTCATTTCTTACGTTTGAAAATGAAAAAAAAAAAATATATATATATATATATATATGAAATCAGGGCATTTGGACAAGTTTCCTTGCTTGCTCTGGTCGTGTGATAGAAGTGTTTCATGAAGCCAAGACAGCATCTGTAACATGGGACAGAAAAGTAATGGGCGGACTGTGACATCTGGGTCCCACTCAGAGCAGGTCTTCTTATAGACCACATTCTGTTTCACTCTAATTGGCCTTGGCGGCTCAAGCCCAGGTAAGCTCAGAGAGGCTTAGAAAGGAGCTTGTCACTGAGGCGAGCCGAAGCCCCAGTGTGTGGCTTCCTGCTGGTGTGCCAGCTCAGTGTGCTCATCCTGCCCGGTGTCACAACAGCCTGGGGCCTTCTCTCACTGGCCGATGGATTGCTCACTGGCCTGCTCATTCAGCCTGAGCCTCGTCCAGCATCACTTTCTACAGAGCGATGGGTCTCGGGAATCAAACACACGGAGCAGGGGATGTGACAGGTGGGAAAGAGCGTGGACTTCAGAGACCAAAGTCTCTGGGCTCACGTCCCAGCTCTGCATTTTCACTAAAGCTATGGTTTCTTCGTCTCTAAAGAGGGGACTCCAACCATGCCAGGTTGCTGTGAGGGTTCAGTGAAATAGTGAGAAGTCCAGAGGCATAGCTGGCACAGGAAGGATCCACATTCACTTTAAAAGGGCTTCTTTCTCTCTCCTCCTCTTGCCCTAAAGGGATGCTGGAGCAGCAGTGGGCGGGGCAGAAGGTGTGGCCTCGTATGCATTTTGTGCAACTTGAACAGGGGACAGGCTTTTCCACTCTGCCTGGAATTCCTGCAGGAGAGCCACCCCTTTGTGTCCTAACTGTCTTTAGATGATCCCTGTGAAACTTCTTTCTGTTACTTGGGATATCCACTGCCTCCTACTGGGCCCCTAAAGAACATGCATTTATCGCACGGCTGCAAGGAGGACTGCAGGGCCCCACATTTGCTTGTTTGTTACTAAAGCCAACCATGAAGGTTGTGTCTTCTCCAAACCCGCTCAAGAAACCTGACATCAAAAATAATGGATTCACGATCAAGACTAAACAAAGGACTTGGAAGTTACCCCATTTTAGCATTTGGCAATCGCGCTGTCTCTCGGGTTATGAGAAAGATCTTTGAAATATTACATTTTTCCTTATTTCAAAAGCCTAATGAACCTTTCATCCTCTCCTGGCATTGAAATCTCCTTTAATGGTACCCGTTTCTTCCAGAGCACTCAGCTGGAAAGCACAGCAGCGGCTTTGCATCTCCCTCTTCTTCCGCCTGCAGCCCCAGCGCTCTGGGTTCTCTTTCCAGAATATTGTGCCTTTCATCCTTTTATTCCCATGGCAGCCGCCCCACCCCCGGCCCTTGTGACCTTTGATTCAAGCTGCACCGGTCATTTCCTGGGCTTCTCTCTGCCTCTGATTCTCCCAGCCCTCCATCTCTGCTCCCGTGGCAGTCAGAACCACATTCCTAAAGCCTCTGGGGCCGGCGTGGGAAGAACCTGGGCTCTGAAATCGGGTGGACAAATCCCAGCTCCTTCAGGCCAAACCCCATCACCTCTCTAAGCCTCCGTTCCTCATCTGGGAAATAGAATGACCCTAGTGCCTGCGTCATAGGGCAGTGAGGAGGGTTAAATGAGGCCAGGCAAATAAAGTGTTTATCCCAGAGCCTGGCACGTGATCAGCGCCCAGTAAATGACAGCTCTGATAACAGGCGCAGCAAGAGCCTGCAGTGTCGCCTGATCATCAGCAGCACAGAACTCAAGCTGCTGAGCGTGGCATTTGGGGCCCCGTGAGGCCCAGTCTCTGCCTCCATTTTCCCATTTGTCATCCTCTGCATGCCCTGGGCTGCAGTAAAAAGCATTT